AAATAAAGAATCCCTAAAGAAAGCCCAACACGGCAAAATTGAAAATGTTGCAGGCTCGGTTTGATTGAGCCTGTTCATGGACGGTACTGGAAAGTGCAAGTAACCGTCCACGCCCCCTAGCACCGGCTTAAGCAGAATTCAACATTTAAACATGAAATAGTAAAATTTTGAATTTAGAAACATCTTCAGATGTGTTCATACGGCGGTAATCATGGAACCTTCAATGTGACACTTCCGTGCCATTCCATGAAAAGCGGCGTATGGTCCCCAAGTAATAAAAAGCGTGTGCCCTAAACGAGAAAACAATGGGCGGAACTAAATAAAATAGAATTTTGAAAGGGGATCAGAGGTTATGAAGCCTGCGTATCACAGATAAGACGTCAAAAGACAAATTTAAAAAGCAGGCAACATATCCTAAGGGTGATTCAACATTATTCAAGTAGGAATATTGGAACCACCCAACTAGAAAATGCCAAAGAGTTGAAACTAAAAATACCACAAGCACAACAATAATGTCGTGCTGAACGATCTTCAAAGATCGAAAATATAACATCATTGATTAAATGTACGGGGCGACTTTTTACAGCCGCCACACGGCACAAATAACACTGATGTGATCATAAAATAGATAAATAAAGAATCCCTAAAGAAAGCCCAACACGGCAAAATTGAAAATGTTGCAGGCTCGGTTTGATTGAGCCTGTTCATGGACGGTACTGGAAAGTGCAAGTAACCGTCCACGCCCCCTAGCACCGGCTTAAGCAGAATTCAACATTTAAACATGAAATGGTAAAATTTTGAATTTAGAAACATCTTCAGATGTGTTCATACGGCGGTAATCATGGAACCTTCAATGTGACACTTCCGTGCCATTCCATGAAAAGCGGCGTATGGTCCCCAAGTAATAAAAAGCGTGTGCCCTAAACAAGAAAACAATGGACGGAACTAAATAAAATAGAATTTTGAAAGGGGATCAGAGGTTATGAAGCCTGCGTATCACAGATAAGACGTCAAAAGACAAATTTAAAAAGCAGGCAACATATCCTAAGGGTGATTCAACATTATTCAAGTAGGAATATTGGAACCACCCAACTAGAAAATGCCAAAGAGTTGAAACTAAAAATACCACAAGCACAGCAATAATGTCGTGCTGAACGATCTTCAAAGATCGAAAATATAACATCATTGATTAAATGTACGGGGCGACTTTTTACAGCCGCCACACGGCACAAATAACACTGATGTGATCATAAAATAGATAAATAAAGAATCCCGGTCGACATAAAAATAAAATCTTAATTAATTTATTAACGTCACACAAGAATTGTAAGCTTTTTATTCATGACCAGTATCCTCAATCAATATAAATCTTATGTCTCAACTGGAAAATGCCAAACTTCACAGTAATATCACATTGCTTACAATTAGTTTGTGTTTTCTGGTTGTTTTTTAATCGTCTTATGGAAAAGGATATCTATGCGTCGCAAACTTTTCTCATAATTATACACGATATGTAACTTTAGTCTTCAAATATACTTATTATTATGCGTTCATGTTAATCATTCGATATTAAACAGATATTTATAGGAAAAACAGTAATCATACCGGTAGTTAACAATGAAATCTCGTACAATGCGATACACTCTATACAATACGAGTAGTAAAAATCCGGATTTACAACTTAAAAACGCAGCACTGCAACACGTACTGCACTTATTTTACAAGTAATACTGCATTACTCACACACAATTCTTCTACTACTGGAACTGAATTATTGTCCCCAAAACATTACACTGGTACTGCAGTACGAGTCAGTACTTTGGTTAACATACAATATTACACGAGGCTATTTTTATCTAATTTAATTAATGATATCAAGTTATGAATGATCAAACAAATATTGTATGAAAACGTAGACTAAGTTCAAAAGAAAACTTAATATTTATATATATTGAAAATTTAGCTCGAGATATATGTATATCTGTTAGAAGCAAGGGGATTGGTTTAATTCCCACCTATTGAATTTTCGTTTAGGGCACACACATTCTTTTACTTCTGGGGACCATATGCCGCTTTTCATGGAATGACACTGACGTGTCACATTGAAGGTTTCATGATAACCGCCATATGAACACATCTGCGGATGTTTCAATTGTACCTGTTCATGTTAAATTCTGCTTAAGCCGGTGCTAGGGGGCGTGGACGGTAGTTTGCACTTGACAGTACCGTCCATGAACAGGCTCATTCAAACCGAGCCTGCAACATTTTCAATTCGCCGTGTTGCCCTCGCTTTAGGAATTCTTATTTTCTCTATTTTACCAATTAAGGTGCAGATGGACAAATAATAGAAGTATTTATCATTGTAAAGGAAGGTGTAAAGGAAAAACAAAGGGATGTATGTTTCATATGAAATATTATTGTATTGTATATCAGTTTTCTAATAGTCTACATCAGGATTGAAAATTGATCAGTCACAAAATATTCGCATTTAAAAATAGCTACAACACTTGATTTAAAACAATGTCGAACTTTAAATCTTGTTTTCAACTTAAGTTTACATGAAGTGTAAATTTTTCTTATAAAAATATAACATGGTTAATTTTAAACGCAAATGGTAGATGTTAATATTTCTGACTGAATAGTCTATGCATTATTTTTAATGAATAACTAATAAATATTAAATAAGCCAATATTTGTCTCCAATAATATTTATCCTGTTGATTAAATGTATGATATAAAAATGACTGTATAATGTAAATGATAATGTTATATTTTCTGGTCCTTCGGGATCATTGATGCCAACACTATAAAGTGTTGAGAATTGAGTACCGCTCAAGCCGGTGCTAGGGGGCGTGAGGGATGTTGCACTTATTCATTATCCCTCATGTACAGACTCAATCAAACCGAGTCTGCAATTCTTATGTTATTTTGTTGTGATTAATGCTTCCGAGGGATCACTTTGTTTCCAGAATTTTGTACTTCACAACAGCAGGTGTCAAGTGCCGTGTGGCAGCCGTAAAAAGTTGCCCCGTACTTCACTTCAGTGTTGTTATATTTTCTGGTCCTTCGGGATCATTGATGCCAACACTATAAAGTGTTGAGAATTGAGTACCGCTCAAGCCGGTGCTAGGGGGCGTGAGGGATGTTGCACTTATTCATTATCCCTCATGTACAGACTCAATCAAACCGAGTCTGCAATTCTTATGTTATTTTGTTGTGATTAATGCTTCCGAGGGATCACTTTGTTTCCAGAATTTTATAATGTACTTGTTGCTTGACAGTACGTCATATTGCAAATGAGGTGAAGGTGTGAAAGTGCTTGTCATAGAACATGTTTCCAAAATAATGATATTGTTGCAATATTGAGCAATAAACTTGTATAGTTCTACTGCTTGCATAAGTTGGCACTGCCCGTACCAAAAGGAAAGGTTTGCCGTAAACTCGCCGCAACTTTGCCGCAAATTCGCTGCAAACCTTTTAGTTCGCCGAAACACTGTGTCAAGTGTTTGCCAGATATCGCCACTAGTGGCAACTCTGTAGCAAACATTTGGCGACTTTGCGGCGAATTCACCAGAATATTAAGTTGTTCGCCAATAGTTTGCCAGAAACTTTCAGTGGAAAACTAATTTGCCAGAGATTGCCAGAATCTTTCTATCAAAAAAAAAATATTCGCTGAAAGTTCACCAGAAACTTTTCTATAAGAACAAGTTTGCCAGATAATCGCCACAAACATATCAGTTCTGAAAGTTAATCCAACTTTGTTCAGTAAATAACTATTTTGCCAAGGAATTATATATATTATTAGATCTATGCACATATAAAATAAGTCCTTCATGTACCTACCTATAATTTAACCTACCTACCTACCTACCTACCCAACCCTATTTTAATGGGTCGGGAAGTGGAAACAAACATATTTTTATTTTTTGCCTAAGAGTTATCAAATTGAAACATCATATGTATCATGGAGGGTATTGTAGTTCACAATAACAGTTAAAAAAATATAAGGTAGAAGACCCATAATGAAATCGGCAATCTTCGACAATTACCGCCATATCTCGCCATTTATCGTAACGAACTTCGTTTGTTTAGGAAATAGATATCAATTCTGAGTGCATTGTTGTAGAATAATGCACGGTTTGAGTTCAAATGCGTAGTAATATAATCACGAAGGCCGATAGGCCTGCGTGATTAGATACAAAGCATTGGAACGAAAAACGTGCATTATTATAAAATAATGCACAAAGAATTAATATCTATTTCCATTCTTACACGTCAAGAAAAAATATGATTATTACTATAAAGTCGGACTTTATGTTTGGTGTTTAAATTTGTTATCGCCTCAGAGTTGCCAATAGAAACGTTCTTTTAAAGGCTGTTACAGTGGTATGAAAAAAAAACTGTCGTTAAATCTTCAGTGTGTAGAAACATTTTGAGAATAACGCATTTTGAAAACGTTGATAAAACTTTGTTTGTTTATTTTACTTCACTAGCGAAATAAAAATTATTAAAAGTGAAATAAATGTAAAACTTAACTCGTTTGCGACATTGAAATAACGTACTTGATTTGATTGTTTTGCACGTGCTGTTTGGCGCTACATTGTGACGTCACGTAAACAATACTTTAAACGTCTGTTCAGCGTTAACGACTGAATAAAAGATATTGGTGTTCGGATTCATTTTCTTAGTTAGACCATTTTCTTTCATTCAAGATAGTTTTCACAACAAAATTCGACAAAAAATTGTTTTTATTTATCAGATTTTTCAAACAAAATGGCGCCCGCAATGTGAAAATACACAGGGGGATAATAAGAACGGCGAGTGCATTGTTGTAGAATAATGCACGCTTCGGGCCTTCTTTGTTTATATAGAAAAAAATCCAAAAGTGTTAGAATTACGTATAAAGTCGGAATTCTAATAATAGCGGATATCCCCGGTCACGTGGTAGTATTCCCCGAGAAAATGACGTAATTTCCGTAGATATCTAACATGGCGTCTTACAGGCGTAATAGGGCCCGTAAGTCTCGTTTACTTTCACTTTCGATTTACCACTTCCGGGTACATCGGCAGACTTATTTACCGTTACGCATATAGGTAACCCGAAGAACTCGAGGGATATAGAAGTTAAATTTGTTTCGGTCCTCTTCAGATTTGAAGGAATGGATAGCACGGGTCAAAAAATGCAGGTAGGTCAATTATCTGACGGAAAAACGAGGGATTTATAGAGTTTAATAAAACTAGTTTATTTTCGGATAGTGACAATTGTTTCGGATGTTTTGTCAAGGTAGTGAATTCTAGTTGTTTAGCTTTTAGTATTGTTTAAAAACTACTGATTTGAGAAATTAATTCAAACCATTTTAACTTATTGAAATAAACAATGGAGAAACACTTTAATTCTAGTGTATATTAAAGTTATACAAAATTCGGACATTGCACAGTAATTCGGATATTTTTTCCCTTCCATTTTATTCTTGTTCCTTTTTCAATTATATATACATGTTAATATGGTACCTAGCAAATATGATTGAATTAAAAAATATAATATTTGATTAAACCATTTCAGATGTATAGACAAGGAGGTATATGACAAGTATAGAATATACAGTTGTTCAATATGGACCATTAATCAACTGTTTGCACTGCCTATGATCCTGAAATATCTATACATCAAAGGTAAATACATGTAAAATAATTGATTAATTTTTAGTTGAGATCGGAAAGATAAACAATTATCAAAATATATCATTATAATTTAATAACTTTTGGATTTCACTGCATGATTATTGATAAGTAAATAAAACATTAAAAATAGTCATGTTTCACATTCAAGAAGATCAATATTTTTTACTGTTATATATTATGTGTTGTTGTTTATCTTTAATGTTTATTTACTTCAAATATGAAATTTTTCTGTCAATCATGACCAGCTTATTAAATGTAATGTAAATATCATTTCTAGTGTCTTACACTTGTAACAACATATTTATTGATTTTTCATTGTGCAGATAAAAAGGGAAAAGATGAAGGAGCATTTGTCCATCAAGACCTTTATTGCAACTGCCATCTTCCAGTTCCTTAATTTGAGAATGATATCAGAGAACACACAGTTACAGTGAAATATTAGTTTAATATAAGCCACTGAGAATAGTCAAATGTACTTTTCTGAAGAAGATGAATGACATCCAGCACAAAAATCTTAATGTATAAAGAGTATGAGTTTATGGTGTTTGACACTATGATCTTGTTAACATGTTAATGTCACAATGATAGAAACAGAGTAAAATATCCACATTTCATTGCAGTTTTAAGTATTAAAACTAGATACTCTAGCTATATATACCAAAGCTGATAACACACCAGAGATAAGGTTTTTTCATGGAATCACAGTATAGTCATATGACATTATGGACATTAAATGACTATGAAGTAAAGATTAGCAAAAATATTATATATCATCTACTACTAATATTGTGAGGTAATCATTGATAAGCTCACAAATTTGCAATCAAAGCTTTGATATCAAGCTGAACATTTTTCAATTAGAATATGATTTATAACTCTATGATAATTTGTTCATGTTAATTTTCAAAGTCTTTACATTTGTAAAAGGAAATATTCTTATTCTTGTATCAGTAGACATTCACAGTGTAAAGTTACATTGTCCAAATAACTAATAATAATTCCAAGTGCTTTCCTGAAGTTTTTCTTCCATTGGAAAATCAGTGTGATATATATGCTAAGCAGTGCACTATAAATTGTGTAAAAATAAAAGTTTATTAAACTTATGAACTGTTTTTTGTTTCTACTATTTGGCATATATTTATAGCAGTGCTTGATCATAAGAGTTCATCTGCAAAATAAGTGTCACTGTGTACTTTAATTCTCTAACAGCAATGGCTAGATTGCTTGAATATGCAAGCATTGACTATATTAAAAACTATGCATGTCATTTGAATTTTGTCTGTCCTGAAATCGAAACATACACTATCTAAATAATATTGATGAAAAGTTCTTGACAGCTCTTCAATGACTACATTTACACATATGTACATGGACAGAAGTTAAAAGCATTGTGTGGTGTTTTTTTTTTTTTTTTTTTTTTTTTTTGAAACATTGACAATTTTGAAACAGTTCCAATGGGTATATTAATGTATCAGTGATGTAATTGTTTTGTAACAAGTGCAAACCCTAAGTTTTGCATGTATTGTATAGATAATTCACTTTTGGTCAAATGTCAACAGGTTCAATACATTATAAAACAGGTAATTTGAAACCCAAAGAAGTATATGGTATGTAATAACTACCCCTCTGATACTAAAATCTTCAAGGAATGCAGAATTGCAAGTCTTCTCCAATTAAGAGAGAGACTTGGGCTTACAAGGGCTAGCAAGCTAGTGTTTTGCTACAGAATACTCAACACAGATGAATTGCATTAATATTGTTTACTCTGGTATTACTACCTGCCATGTACAATGCAAATCATGGCTTTTCTAAGAGCAGTGAAAGGCTATAACTGGAAGGAATTTTACACATCTTGCCTCAGAAACAAGTTTTTCTTTGAGATGATTTTCATGATATTTAAATAACGGTTAAAGATAACATTACTTTTACAATTGCAGTGATCATTGTGATAATATGAAATGAAACTCAATCAAGATAGAAACATTTTAATGCTGAACATTTATCTTTTTACCATTCCTGTTAATTTACAAGTATATTTATAACAAATTTATCTTAACTGTTTTGAAACTACATGATGCCTGGTTGAAACTGTTTTGGGCAGCCATTTGCAATTATCTTTGAATAATTAAGTTAATACAAAGTTACAAATGACAGGTTATTTATTTCTAATAAAGACAGGTTATTTATTTCTAACAAAGACAGGTTATTTATTTCTAACAAAGACAGATATTTTGTTTAACATTTTTACACTGACATATATCTTTGAAGTGTCTTCAACCTTAGTTTTTATTAGAATACAAACATTCAGTCAGACAGTTTACACAAGACATGGAGCTTTAAGAAGCTTTAATTCAGTCAAAATCTGTAATGGACTGCCATGTCTCTACCAGTATGTACTCCAAGACTGTGTATGGACATTTCCTTTCAACTATGCCTGGTGGTATCACTATTTGATTTCTAATCTGATGGTGAACACTCCAAAATAAATCAAGAGCCATGACAAGTACTCAAGATCCAACCATGAAATCACATACCTGTATATAAAGAAAATTTATCATGAGTTGAAAGCAATAATAATTAGTCAGCTATAAATTTCAATCATTTTCATATTGTCATGAATAGAAAATAATGTTGAAAAGGAAGAAACACTTCTTGGTGTCCTAGTTTTTGTAGATTTGCTTTGACAAATGATCTTTAAAAAATGTGATAGTGACTAAGTTCTTTTAACCATTTACTGAACATGATTTAACTAAAAAATATGACCCACTTACTTGAGAAAAATACTTTAAACAGTATTTAACATGAATTAACTACATATGCCATACTGTTTGTTTATTTAGCTACACTGTAATTATTTACAAAAACGAGAACATTATATGTTATACAATAATATTTATTTTTCATTAATGTAGTTTAAGTAGCTTTAAGTATATATTTCTTACCAAAACGATTTTACAGCAGAGCATGCATGTGTATTTACATCGGATACTGACGTCTTTCATCTCACCACTGTCCTCAGTCAAAATATCTACAGGAGCAAAATATTTCATTGAATTTTATGACAATTTAAATTGGTTATATACAGCTTGACTGTTTGTGCTTTATAAAGATAATAATTATAAATAAATAATATTTTCAGTTGGAAGAAAATATATTCAACTAAAACACACTGATAATCATATTTAAACGTTTATCCGAAATATGTGCTGTCCGAAATTTCTAAACATTATACACTTCTGAGAGATAATCAGGTAGCGCTATAGAAAATTGATAAAATCAAATTTACCAGTATGGTGTCAGATGCGAATGATGTTGTATCAAAAAACAAATTTATTAGATTTACATCGAAATGAAAATATTACAACATTTATTGGGATAAACTGAATTTGAAATGACACACCCACCTGATTATACGAAGTTGCCTTTCATTGATACTTATTCACAAGATGAAACCATTTGCATTTCGTTACAAAACAAAAAACTCTGCCAATTTCCACATATCATTTGCTTTTCCATGTAAGTTTTACTTTCCCACCGGCATACAAGTATTACCCAATATAGATAAGCAATGTTGTTGATATTTGTTTGTACCCGGAAGTGCAAAATATCGTGAAATCTCGCAAGTCACATGACGAGACTTACATACCCTATACGCTCGGTCGATTAAAAAAAAGTGTAAAAAGATGCAGAAAACCCAAGTATTCCGACTTAATTATACAACATAACTATAGTGTAGGTAACCAGTATTACGGGTCAACCAAACCAGCTCTACAAAACATCAACTCTTCCTAAATCGGTTGATAATGAGGGTTGGAAAGAGGGAAGAAGAATCGTTGAGTTTGGCGTGTTACGGTCAAACCTAAGATTTTGTAAAAAATGTAGACTTGGACCAGTAGGCTACCATTAACTTTTGACAACATGTTAAGTGAATTTAAACAGGGTGTGTCTGAATATTTGTATGTGAAATGTCGAAACACATAGACTCTAGTAGATTGAAGACCTTGGAAAGTTGGAATGCCATGTTTCGTTGTCAACACAAAATTAGGAACAGGTAAGTGATTATAAATGTATTGCATCATACTTTAGAATTAGATTAAGTACTATATACTGATTATGAATTCATAGATGTAAGGTCTCGTACCAAAATGAAATCAGAATATAGATTTATCAGTGTTTATCTCGTCTTCCAATGATGTCAAACATGTAAAATTATTAGAGAAATTATGCGGACCAAATTTATGTTTCTGATTTATAAATAATTAATTTATTATACAGAATACATACATATATCTTGTTTGTGTTGAACTGTAAAACACTACTCCTTATTGTGAATTTTTTATAAACTTCCCTCTGAACTGTTTTAACTTCCCCAAAGTCACTGAGAAATTTGAAAAACAAATGATAAAACGTTGCTAAATTAAATCTTGCAACAATGCAATTTTTAGTAAGACATTACAGAATCCTACATGTACATTTATATAAAAGACACAGTTTACACTTGGCTGCCAATACACACAGTCACAGTAATATTCAACATACATGAGGCAGCTAAAAATAGCTCTATATAAATTTATGCAATGTGTTATAATCACGGTTATGTAAATTACAATCCATGTGAAGTTTTTTTGACAAAATATTTGTATACTTAATTGAAATAATTTGTTTCTTTTCATTTTCTTACAGCAATGAGTGATAGTGTAGGTGGGCCGGTGAGGGATGAAAAAAATGGAGAGACGTGTTGGAAATATCATTGAGACAGTGGCTTCTATGTCGACAGAATCTGCTGCGAAAGATCAAGGAAATGGAGTAAGACACATTTACAATGATATTTTCGAAATAACATGTAATTGAATTGGAAGAATTTCAAAAATTATTTTGAAATTATATGCATGTCTATGCAGCTTATCATGGTATAATGCTATATTGCTGGCACACTCGTGGTTTAGGGAACCAAAGAATATTATACAATCCATATATGAGAAAAGAATTTTTAAACAATGGCTTTGTTGTTTTTGCATGTTACTCTATATTCACGTACATAATTTTTTTCCAAAATAACATGAATGTATGTGTAATTGTTTTTTAATAAAAGTATTTATTTCTACATGACAAACTTACCTTCATTGGTTTAAGACTAAAATTCTTATTAAATACATGCATTCTTTTTAAGGGATGTGCATCATGAAGAATCAATGCTATCAGAATACAACATCATGGAAGGTCTTATTGACAAGATCTTGGAGTCCCGATGTCCTTTGCCAGATGCCTCGCCAGCACTAAAGTGAGTACTGGTAGTTTGTTTTCTGTATTTTGTTTATTTACGAAAGTAAAGGACAGTGCAAAACTGACTGGTGTTGTTGAACTGTTTGTGTTAGGTCAGTTGCTTCAATATATGAATATCTCTCCATATACTGTTTGTACATATGTATTTTTTTTATTCAAGGTCTATTCTTCAGTCAGATGCTATGTACAGTTACAAATGACAGTGAATGGTCAGATTTATACAATTGTGATAAACAATCCTCAACAATACATCAAACAAAAATGCCTATGAAACTGTAAGTTGAAATCTATGAGGTTTTTATATATATTTATAATCATGGTGTAGCAATTTAATGATAATACTGTGATAATTTTGTAATGCTATTTGGGGTCGTCTTCAATAGAAACAATTTGATGTATCTTCATGTGATGAATAATCGATATGCAGTCCGAATTATTTCATAAAAGTGATTACCAAAATTGGTCAGGAAAAAGTCGTGCAATCAGCATTAATAATTAACAAAACTTATTCTAGTATGAACATTGTGTTACATTAATTATAAATAAGTTATTGTCAATTCATTGGTGTATCTTCAATATTTGTCAATATTACGTTTAAAGATGAATTTTAAAATACAGAAAATATTTATGTAATATATTTTTACAATTACAGTTCTCACAGACAGTCAAAGGTTGAAAACAATATCAGAAGTGGTCCACATCTTGAAAAACCTCACAGCAGATTAAGACTTTCCCCGAAATGTCCCTGTAAAACCCGCAGTGGTATGTCCAGTGCAGTAGATACTGCCTGGCACAAAAGAGGATTTGACAGTTTAACATGTAAGTAAAAAAAAAGATTATTTTTTATGCCCCCACAATGTGGGAGCATATAGCGTTGCACTTGTCAGTCCGTCCCAAAATCTTGTGAACGCAACTCCTCTTAAACCCGATGGCAGATTTTGCTTAAACTTACAGGGATGAACAACCTTAATGTGAAGATGGAAGTAAAGGAAGGAATTTTCGCTGCGACCAAATTTAACAGAATTATGGCCCTTTGTTGAGTTTTTCACTATATACTATGTAGAAATTTGTGAAAGCAACTCCTCTTAAACCAGATGGCAGATTTTGCTTAAACTTCCAGGGATGAACAACCTTAATGTGTAGATGGTAGTAAAGGAAGGAATTTTTGCTGCGACCAAATTTAACAGAATTATGGCCCTTTGTTAATTTTTTCACCATATACTATGATACTATGTAGAAATTTTGTGAAAGCAACTCCTCTTAAACCAGATGGCAGATTTTGCTTAAACTTCCAGGGATGAACAACCTTAATGTGAAGATGGTAGTAAAGGAAGGAATTTTTGCTGCAACCAAATTTAACAGAATTATGGCCCCTTTGTTGATTTTTAGTTTTCAACTTGTGGCACATGTAGTCCAAAAACTATTTGACCTAGAGTCATAAGATTGACAAAACAGTGGCGTGTGGGGGCATCCGTGTCCTATGGACACATTTCTAGTTTTTCTCAGTTATCATGTCAGTAATGATTTAGAATTTGTCAGAAAAGTATCTGTGTATATTTTAACCACTGTTATTGATGTATAATTGAAAAAGTGAGTTT